CCCCCTGCCCTTCCTGCCCCCCCGGACCCCCTCCTCGCCGCCCTCCTGGCTCCCGACCCCGCCCTGGCGTTGACTCGGGGTGTTTTGCTCGGCCCCCCGCTGTCTCTCGGCGGGGGAGGGGGAAGGAGAGCCCATTTTCCCAGAGCGCCCAGAACACATGAATCTTGCCTGCTGGGTGGAGACGTGAGGAAGGCTATACTTTTCGGCCCTTTGTGTGGCAGCACAGCGCTACCTATGGCCTCGTCTAATTGTCCCACAGCCCCGAGGGGGATGTCGGTGCTCTCCTTACGGAGGAGCGGAGCGAGGCTGGCTCACTCGCTGATGCGTTCCACCCGGAGGCCTTTGCTCAGTGCCTGTGGGTCGGTGTTGGGAACAGAGTGACCGAGCACACAGCCCCCCCTTCCGTGGAGCTGCGTGCTTGCGGTGGACGGGAGGAAGTAGCCCACCCGGGAGTGGGTGCGGGAGTCAGTGCGGGCTCGGGCTCGGGTGGGCCCCCCGCGCGTCCCCGCACCGCCCACGGGGTCGCCCACTGGTTCATTGGACACGGTCGGGGGAGGAGGCAGGTAGTCAGAGCCGGCTCCGGGCAGTGTTGTCGCCCTGGTGTGGCCTTTCTGAATGTAAAGAACGGCGACCCCGTAAGGAAGACCACCAGGTGCTTCCGTGGAGGTGGGCAGGGTGCCTGTGCCTTGTGCTTGGGCCAGGAGCCTGGTTTGCACTATCCGAGGTTTGCTAGCTTGCACATTTGTTAAGATAATTAAGTGAGATAATATTTGTAAAGTCTAGCTCGGTCACATTTCTTATATTTTACTTCTTCCCGCTCTTCTATGGAACTTTTGTTCTTTGGGTCCCTATGGAAAAATCCTAGCAGTCTAAAGTTTTATTATATTTTGTGTCTAAATAAATCTTTTCAATTACATTATTCATTTTGGACAAACAGGTATTTCAAAAGTGGAGATGTATGGGGAGCCGTGTAAGGAAAGGAAGATGATTTTCAAGCTAGGAGGAGAGAACTTATTTCAGGACTCCCCACCCCTACTTTACAAAATCAGCTCATCTGTGCCACAGGCTCAGGAACCGTGTTGGCTTCATAAAATTGCACAGGACATTTTGATATATATCCTTCCCACCATCTGAGAGCCTATTGACTAGTGGTTTATAATAATTTTCCTCAGAGAGTAAGTGTAAGGAAGACATTCAGAGCCACTTATTGCTGCTGATGGATTTTTAAATCAGTCTCTTGTTTTATAGAATTAGTATTTTCTGCTTAGTTTTGCACAAATTCTCCTCTAGATGGCAAGTTCACCATTATGTCCTCACGGACTATCACTGTATATGTCAGCTTAGGCCACTCAATACATATTTGTTGAATGAATACATAAAATCTTAACTGAATTTAACAATTCAGTGAAGGAGTGGATAACTGACAAAATAGGTTTAAACTTTTTGCTTGTCTGTTTGGTCATAGATAAGAAGTTGAGTCTTTTAATACTTAAATAATTACAGATTGCATGAGAACATAATCTTGGGTATATACAGCATTGAGTTTTATTTGGAATAGGGAGGAAGGAAAATATTTTATCACT